AGCAGGAAACTCTCAGCACACTCACCGGACCTGGGCTAGGACTGGCTGTTTGCTTTCTTAATAAGTTCTCAGGCAGTGCTGATGCTTCAAGAATCTCTGTGATAGAAAGAATAGAAACAGTTTACTGGTAGGAGGAGGGAGCGCCTGGCCAACTATGGAGCAAGTCTGTAACCTTTAGGATTTTTGTCCTCGGTGTATTTTGTCTTCTCTCTGGCTGCTAATTTAAGACCAGAGAAAGATTTAGCTTGGTGTGTTCTGCTTATCTTTTCTCAATTTACTATATATCTGTAAAAAAAACTTCATCTATAAAAACTTTTTCACAGATTTACAGACTTTCTCATTTGTACATCTTTGTCTCAGAAGACTATTTTGGGGATATAGAAGATAGTAAGCATTATCGCCATGATTTAAAGTCTTGATTTTTGGTGTACCACACTAATACACTAAAAGGTGAATTTAAAAAAATTTTATTCATTTTAATGAGAAAAAATAGCAGTGAAACAATTTCAAAACAGGTTAGCAGGACAGTTACAATAATTAATACATTGCAAATTGTCTTCATAGTAATTATTCAGAGGAGAAGATGCAGACATGACGTCTTGTCTAAACGCTTAGTACAAACCTTTCTTCTCATTGAACTAATAGAAGGTGTATATCTAGCCTAACTATTTCGTATATTAAAAGGTGAATTTTGCACAGCTACCTTTTTATGAGTGTCTTTGAGTCCTTTCCAAATAAAGTTTCAGTTACAGATGGTGTTAGGATGTCTATTTTGCTGTAGAAGAGAGCAAAGCAGAGAGATCATTTGGTATAGTCCTACATTGTAGGTCAGGCGGAAACTAATGTTACTTTAAAAAACTAGAACAGTGTAGCCGTTACTGAGGACTTTTGTTCTCTTCTACTTGTTTCATGTAGAAAGTCCTGACATTTATATATCTTGGGACTTTGTTCTTTCTATGGACCTAGAAATACAGAATTTGGTGAGTAGGCTGCTTAAAACTATTAAAAATGAAGATGTATTGTGATGTCAAAAGGTTTGAGGCTATGTGTTAAAAGACTTGGATGATTTTAAAATGCATTCTTCTGTATTTTTGTTGCCTATATTAGCATTGCTGTTAGCAACAAAATAAAGCTGGGTAGTGAATTTTATTGTACCTCATCTTTTTTGGCCAATCCAGTGCTTGAAATATGAATCTCATCTCTGCCTGTCTTGGTTACTTTTGTTACTGGGACAAAATGCTTGATACAAGTTAAAGGAGGAAAGATTTATTTGGCTCACAGTTTGTAGAGGTTTCAGTCCATAGCTGGCTTTAAGGAAGGGTGGCAGGGCAGAGGGGCAACACAGAGTGGAAACAGTTCCAGGACAGCAAGGAGCAAGCAACAGCAGCAGCAGCAGCAGCAGCAGCAGCAGCAGCAGCAGCAGCAGCAGCAGCAGCAGCAGCAGCAGCAGCAGCAGCAGTTTCTGTCCTTTTTTACTCCTTCCAGACTCCCTGCCTTTTGGATGGAGTCATTCAGAGCTAAGATCAACTAACTGATGGACTCATCCACACACTCTTAACCCAGTATCACACCCTTAATTTACATTCACACACCCTAGGTGCAGCCAGAAGGCCCCCACCTATGAGTGCATGAGATACAAACCATAACAATGCCTCACATCTCCTGGATGCAGCCGTGGGTGGGAGTTTTAGAACATAGTGCTTGACAGAGACATGCATTTCTATGAGTTCTCTCTATAGGTCAGCAGGATCATTATTGCCAAGAGGAGAGTATGTATCACTTGTCTCTTATAATGATTATGTTTCTTTATTCTTTTTAGGTGATACAATTAATATTGGAGATGTGTCCTACAAGTTGAAAATGCCTAAGAACCCAGAACTTGTGCCACAGAACTACAGTAAGAAATACTTATTTATGAATGAATACATGTGAACTTTTTTGTGGGAATTTTCATACATACACAAAAGTAGAGTGAATAGCATAAATCTAAGCCACTTATCACCCACTTTCAAAGTTTAGCAATAGTATGCTCATTCTTACCTGATTCTTCTATTTTGTTCTGAAGTATTTTAAATCTATCTCAGACATCCTATAATTTCATTTGTGAATATTTAGTAAAAACGCTAATTTTTTTACAACTATTGTTTTTTCTTGTTATGAAGTTTACATGTAATAAAATGCTCAGATTTTAAGTGTTCAGTTGGCTAGTTTTAAAAATTTTATATGCCTCTATGACCACCCAGATTACTTTTCATTACCTCCAAATGTTGTTTTGTTTCTCTTTCCTTTACGCTGGAAACCATTGTTCTCTTTTCTGCTATTAATTTTGCCTGTTCTTCAGCTTTATAGAAATAGAATCAGATAGTGTGTGTTCGTGTATGTAGGCATTCTGCATTTTGTTTACCCATTCATAAGTTGATGGGCAGTGGGATTTTTCCCTTTTTAGTCTATTCTGAACAATGCTGATATATTTTTCTATAGACATTTGCTTTCAGTTTTCTTGTATATATACCCAGGATAGGAATTGCTAGGTCATATAGTGACCCTTTTTAACATGTTGAGGAATTACCAATCTGTTTCCAAAGCAGCTACGTCGTCTTACATTCCTATCAGCAATCTGTCAGTGTCCCAGTTTTTTCATATAATCACTAACACTTGTTATTGTCTATCTTTTTTTTTTTTTAATCATAGCTGTCCTCATGAAGTTGTCTTTTTAAATTGGACAGGACTAAAAAAGGACAAATGAAAACATGCTTATGGTGTCTATTTTCTTATGCTGTTTACTTTCCTGGCAGTTATTACTTCTTGCTGTGGATTTGAGTTACTGTTTAATGTGCCTTCATTTCAGCCTGAAGTTAGCACTCACTTTAGTATTCCTTGTGCGACCAGTCTGCCAGTGATGAATTTTTTGTTTTTTCATATTTGGAAATGTCTTAATTTCTTCTTTGTACAATGAAGGATAGTTTTATCAGACGTAGAATTCATTATTGACAATTTTTTTTTAGCACTTTGAATATGTCATCTTACTACCTTAGTTTCTGATAAGAAGTAATTTATTAATCTTATTAGGGAATCTATACAGTGAATCACATTCTTTCTGCTATAAAGATTCACTCTTTTGACTTTTGATAGGTTGCTTAGGTTGTGTACAGTGATTTGGCTGTGGTTTGTTTCCCAAGAGGTTCATGTCCTAGAAACTTTGTTCCCAGTGTGGCCGCACTGCAGGGAGGATGGACCGTTTAGATGTGGGGCCCTGTGGAAGGTACATTTTCCTGGGGGAAGCTGCTTTTAGAAGGGAGTGATACTGTTTGTGGAATGACTTAATTCTCAACAAAATAGGTTGTTATAAAATGATCCAGACTGCCCTTTCCCTGCTCTGTGTTTTCCTGCTTGCCCTTTCTCATACTGCCACCGTGATTCCCTCTGCCATGTTGTGACATATCCAGGGGTCCTGACTACAGGTTGTACAGAAGGGGCTTCCTGATTTTGGACTTTCAGTCTTGAAAACTGTGAGCTAAGCAAATCTCTTTTCTTTGTATATTACCTTTCATCAGGTATATTGTTACAGCAATGGAAAGTGAACTGAAATATCTGAATATACCCTATTTGGATTTTGTTGAATTTGAATGTTTCTGCATGTCTTTTTTTTAATTTGAGATTTTCAACATTATTTCTTCACTATTATTTCTTCCTTCTGTCTTTATCTCTTTCCCATTGTATACATGCTGATAGACTTGATACCTACCAATTTCATATTTTTTATTTTCTTTATTTCTCTTCTGCCACTTAACTGGATAAAATCAGTTGACCTATGGTTAAGTTTGTTGATTTTTTTTTCTATTACCTACTCATATCTATTATTGAGTCCCTCTAGTGATTTTTTTTGATTTCATGGTAGTTCTCAATTTCTATTTTGCTTTTAAAAATAAATTCTCTAATTTCATTCTGACGTTTAATTCTTTAGACATGGTTTCTGTAATGTTTACATGATATTTATAGTAGCTGGTTAAAGTGTTTGCTAAGTCATATATCTTGCTTCTTCAGAAACAGTTTTTATTTACTCCTTTTTTCTGTGTATGAGCCATACTTTATCATTTCTTTGCTTTTTTTTTTGGTACTGGAGATTAAACTTAGGACCTTGTGCTTACCAGGCAAGTGCTTATTCTACTGAGCTATCTCCCCAGCCCATTTGCTTTTATGATTTTATTGTTGTTGAATTAAGGTGTATATTGTGGCAGTCCTAGAAATCAAAGTCTTTCCCAGAATTTGTTCCTTGTGTCTCTGGAATTTGCTTAGTGGCTATCACAGGCTCTTTCTCTAAATTTCATGTTCTTTTTTTTTTTTTTTGGCGGAACCGCACATTGAACTCAGGCCCTTGAGCTTGCCAGGGAAGCGCTTATTCCACTGAGACATTTCCCTGGCCCCAGTAAATTTCATGTTCTTTATCATGAGTAGTTATTGAAGTTTTAGCTTGATGTAGTTAGCAGTCAGCTAATGATTAGATTTTTTTTTTTTTTTTTTTTTTTTGTGGAACTGGGGATTGAACTCAGGCTCTTGCGCTTGCCAGGGAAGTGCTTATTCCACTGAGCCATCTCCCCAGCTAGATTTCTTAAATGCTTTGAACTAACAAATTTTTTTAGCCTTTGTAAAAGCCATCTGCAAGTACTTGCTTTGAAGTATGATTTCAGGGCTCTATATACAGCTAAAAATTGTGTCATAACCTTTGCTTTTGCTTCTGACCCTCAAGGTCAGCCAGAGGTAAGACTTTTCCCTGAGAGGACCTTCTCAGGATTTGCCTGGACTGCTGCATGGCCTGCAATTCCCAGCATATACTAGAGCTTTTCAAAGCCTCCTGTGAACGTTTCATTCCCAATATTTTCGGTCATTCTTTTGTTACCTCCAGGTGGTACTCTTGCCTGAGGCAACAGGTGTGAAACAATTGCAGTTGGTTTTATTGGTCCTATGTCCTGCAGTAGTGCTGTATATACATAGTGAATTCTGAGTAGGGAATAAAGCTTTTCAGAGAGCTTCCAGGATGCCCAAATAGAGATGTTTCTCTGGGGATGTGGCTTTTGGGGCACTCCAGCATGTTCTGTCCCCTTCAGTGACAGCCAGGCTGCTCGTTTTCCACTATGATCATGGGAGGTTGTTTTTTAAGACAAATGCAGGGCATGGGAAATAGGTATGGAATTAAAGCAATTAAAATACTAAAAAATTCACTGTCCTTACTAATGTTCAACCATTTTTTTTGATAAATACTTGTCAAATTATTGAAATCCCTTTGTTAATTTTAAGCACCCTGAAAGGATTGATTTGTTTTTTTAAAGATTGATTTTTGACAGTTTTTAACAGTATTTTCATTATTTTTTATGGAGGAATGATTTTTCAGAGTTCCTTTCCATGTTATTCCAGTAGTGTCGGTTTTATCATTTTAATTTGCTTTACTCTGATGAATGATGATATTTAAGATATTACTGTGATTATGACTTTTATAGAATGTCTGTTAAGTCTGTAAACTCATTTGTCCCTTTAAAGCTATTGAGCTGTTTGCTTTTTTCTTATGCACTTAACAGATGTTTTCATGTATCATCTGTTTGCTTATTCATTTTTTCACTGGTATCTTGGTTGGTAGGAATTTTGATGACATTTGATTTTTCTAATTAATTAATTAAATGATTATTGCTTATTGTGCTCTGGAAATCTTGGTGTACTTGATTGTGAAGACATTCTATGTTTTTTGTTAAATTTATAGCTCAGTTTTATCTTAAAGGGATAAAAGGCCCATTTCATTTCAGTCAGCCTGTAAATTCAGTGGCATATATATAT